CTGTTAAAGAATACTACTCTGACCTGGGCAATGCCTCTGTAGGCTTTTGAACTCAACACCAAGGTGAAAGATTTACGCCAAGGAGGGGTGACTGTTACTGAATACTTCCTTGCTCTAAAAACATTGTGGCAAGAGTTGGATCTTTATGATAAAGCAGACCTTCAAGGTTTAGACGCTAATGCAATATTCAAAAATTATATAGAGAAAAGGCATCTCTATGATTTTCTTGCTGGCCTTAATTCTGATCTGGATGATGTTCGTGGAAGAATTTTGGGGCAAAACCCATTACCTTCCATTGCCACTGCCTTTTCTGAGGTACGAAGGGAGGAGCTTCGCCGAAAGGTAATGTTGGGTGATAAGGACTCTAAGTCCTCTGATGGGTCAACCCTTATAACAAAGAATACTGCTCGTCCTTCTGGGGACTCAAAACGTTCTGACCGTTGGTGTTCTCATTGCAATAAGGGTGGTCACACCCGTGAAAAATGTTGGGAAATTTATGGCAAACCACCAAACTGGAAACCAAAAGGACAGAACAAGAATCATGCTAATCAAGTATCTTCTGAAGATAAGGGGGAGGGATCTCATGTCCCTTCAAACCCCGATGGTGTTCTCCTCTACCACTCTCTATGTTTATCAGATGATTGTAATGATGTTTTGTTATGGCATCGTAGGTTAGGGCACCCAAATTTTGTTTATCTTCAGAAGTTATTCCCTAACTTATTTATCAATAAAAAGCCATGTTCCTTTCTTTGTGATATTTGTCAACTTGCAAAACATTCTCGTGTCACTTATTCTCCTAAGAAATATCATGAATCTTCTCCCTTTACATTGATTCATAGTGATATTTGGGGACCTGCTCGTGAAAAAAATGTCTCGGGTGCTCGTTGGTTTATTACTTTCATTGGTGATCATTCTAGAGTATGTTGGGTATATCTCTTAAAAGACAAGTCTGATGCGGTATCCACTTTTAAAAATTTTCATGCTATGATTCAGACTCAATTCCAGACTCCTATCAAAATTCTGCGAACAGACAATGACACTGAATATTTTAATTCTGTTCTTGGAGATTACCTAAACCAGCATAGAATTATTCATCAAAGTTCTTGTCCTAACACCCCTCAACAAAATGGGGTGGCTGAAAGGAAAAATAGACATCTAATTGAAGTTGCTCGAGCTCTCTTATTCACGATGCATGTCCCTAAATATCTGTGGGGGGGAAGTCATCTTGACAGCTTCTTATCTCATTAGTCGAATGCCTTCTCGGGTACTAAATTTTCATTCTCCTTTATCTTGTCTTACTAAATCTTTTTCTTCTTTCTGTGCTCTTTCTTCTCTTCCTCCAAAAATATTTGGATGTGTGGTCTTTGTACATATTCCTCCACATCAAAGGTCCAAACTTGACCCTAAATCTATTAGATGTGTCTTCATAAGATATTCCCCTAATCAAAAAGGCTATAAGTGTTACTCACCTTCTCTCCGTAAGGTCTTTGTTTCCATGGATGTTACCTTTTATGAGACACAATCCTTTTTTTCCCCGACTTCTCTTCAGGGGGAGTCTACTGGTATGGATGAAGATAAGCCTGGGAAACCAAATGAAGCTGATGTCTTACCTTGGCCTTTGGAAACAGGGGAAGTTATTGGGAAGGAAACAGGGGGAGCAACTATACCTGAGTCTAATGATCCTCCCGGTCCTTGTGATCCTCCTGGTAAATGGGGAAAATTCTACAGCAGGCACAAAACACATCAAGAGACTCTAGACTGCCAGGATCCTGACTCGAGTCCTTGCTCTAGCAACCCACTTGAATGCACTAGCACAACCAACATTGATATGCTCATCGCCCTTCGGAAAGGTACTAGATCTTGCACTGCTCATCCTATTTCCCATTATATCTCATATGAGAAGTTATCTCCAGGTTTTCGTGCTTTCAACATTATGTTAGATAGTACCAGGATACCCAAAAATATCCAAGAAGCACTTGATGACCCAAAATGGAGGAACGCCGTATTAGAAGAAATAGATGCACTTATAAAAAATGGAACATGGGAGTTTGTGACATTACGTAAAGGAAAGAAAACTGTTGGATGCAAGTGGGTGTTCACAATAAAATTTAATGCAGATAACAGCATCAACAAGTATAAGGCCAGATTAGTTGCTAAGGGATTTACTTAGACTCATGGGATTGATTATCAGGAGACATTTGCTCCTATTTCCAAGCTTAACACTATCCGCGTTCTGCTATCTCTTACCGCCAACCTTGATTGGCCATTGCAACAGTTAGATGTCAAGAATGCCTTCTTGAATGGTGATCTACATGAGGAAGTTTACATGGATCCACCTCCTGGTTTTGAAAAATGGGATGGTTCTGTGTGCAAGTTGCAGAAGTCTCTCTATGGACTTAAACAATCTCCCAGAGAATGGTTTGGGAAATTTACTCAAGCTGTTAAGGGAAGAGGGTTCACCCAAGCTCAGACTGATCACACTTTATTCTTTAAACACTCTGACAAAGGTAGAATTGCTATCCTCATTGTTTATGTTGATGACATAATTGTCACTGGTAATGATACCGAGGAGATAGCCTCTTTAAAAAAATGTTTAGCTGATCAGTTTGAACTAAAAGATCTTGGATCTCTCAAATACTTCCTTGGCATGGAAGTTGCTCGAAGTAAGGAAGGAATTTCCTTAACTCAGAAAAAATACATTCTAGACCTGTTGCAAGAAACAGGTATGCTTGGGTGCAAGCCAGCAGAGACTCCAATTGAAGCTAATATCAAGATGGGAGTTGAGGACGGGGAAGATGTTGATAAGGAGCCGTACCAGAGACTAGTGGGGAAATTAATCTATTTGTCTCACACTCGTCCTGATATTGCTTTTGCTGTGAGCATGGTTAGCCAATTCATGCATTCTCCTAAGGAAAAACACCTTAGTGCTGTTTATAGAATTCTCAAGTACCTCAAAAACACCCCTGGTCGAGGAATTCTCTTTAAAAATGGGAACAAAAGGATGATTGAAGTTTATACAGATGCAGACTGGGTTGGCTCTGCAATGGACCGAAGATCTACTTCAGGATATTGTACTTATGTCTGGGGAAACCTTGTGACCTGGAGAAGTAAGAAACAAACTGTTGTTGCAAGAAGCAGTGCAGAAGCGGAATTTCGGGCTTTAGCCCATGGTATTTGTGGAGGAATTTGGTTAAGAAGGCTTCTGGAAGAGTTGAAGATCTCTTATTCCCTACCTATCAGATTATATTGTGATAATAAAGCTGCTATCAGCATTGCTCAAAATCTTGTCCATCATGACAGAACAAAACATGTGGAAGTCGATCGTCACTTTATCAAAGAAAAATTAGAAGACGGTAGTGTATGCTTGTCATATATACCTACCAAGGAACAAACGGCAGATATTCTCACCAAAGGTTTACTTAAGCCGACCTTTGAGGATTTGATCAGCAAGTTGGGAATGATCAATATATATCTCCCAACTTGAGGGGGAGTGTAGAATATTCTAGATTATCATTTATTACTTCCTTGCTATTTGTTCCCTTATTTATTAATGTCTCTTGTTATTGTAAATAAGCCTCTTAGTTTACTGTTGCTATTTATTAGCATTGTTCTTTGTACTCAATATAAATAAGACCTATTGGGTCTCTCATTGTAATCAATCAATAGTGTTATACAGAAAAACACTCTTTCTTTTTCATCAGTAAGTTACACTCTTAATCTTATTCATTGATCTCATTTATATCTAAGGGCTCAAATTTTTTAATAATGTGAGCCATTGGATACAAGTGGATCAATGATCAAGATTCAGAGTAAGACTTATAACTTACACCAGTGTAAGAATATCTTACCTCTATATATATATATATATATATATATATATATATATATATATATATATCTTCAGAGATTCAGTACATCATTTATTACAATTGAAAAGAAAAAAAAATGCAACTAATTTTTTTTATTCTACCATCCCTATGGTAAATGCTACCTAAATCTTATTTTTCCTACTTTTTAGTAAAAGAATCCCTAATGCTGTAGTACCGAAAATATGCTAGTGTTAGCATGTTTACTAGCGTGTTGAACAGTACTTTTTGGCCCATAATCTGAGAAATCATCATCTGGCTGATATTTAATGCATCCTCTAATTAGAAATGTACATTCTCTAATTAGAAATGTTCAGTCCCAGTGTATATGACGATTTTAGTTACCGCATTCTACATTTATGTATCCTTTAACATAAGTTCCACCTTATTAGTCTCAAATAAAACTCTACACAGAACCCGTGACATTTGTGGAATATAGATCAATAGGGTTTACAAGCATAATTCTGGGTTCATATTATCAGAGAACATGCAGTGCCATATTTAAGTACCTTGCATGTTCAATAATTTAGGATCCATTTTTTCTGAATGCTTTCCCAGAGATTATAGGATAACCCATGTAGCAGCTGTGGTCAGTGGTAACCTCGGAGAGTGGTTAACTATCAACCCATTCAATTAACCATCTTCTGCACTTTCATGTATACAATATTGAGGATCATATGAAAACTTCTATTTTTCTTACATACCAAGGAAAGCTTTTGGTGGTAAAATGTAATCCAAGTTCTTATCCACCTGCAGAATGCCTCAAATTCTCAAAATCCGCCTTAACTTGTAAACCTGAAAAGGTATAAAGTCCTTACTCTTAGTCCTGTCAAGCATAAGTAGTCAAAACTTCAAAAGTTCTATGCAAAACAATTGACTGAAGGCTTGTGATATAGATAAATTTTGTAGTTAGTAATCCTAGGAGGAGTAATATAGAACAGTTCAATAACTTGGGAAGAGGAGGAAAATCCATGCATATAGTGTAGGAGATGTATTACAATAAGTGCCATGGAACATGAGTGCTGAAATGAAGATATGGTTCTGTATATCACCTGGGCAATAAACAAATGTCTAAATTCAAACTTTTCATTATTTTTTATTTTGGTGATAAAATTTTTCATTATTTTCTTTAACATATTCCCGCCATAACATATCGTAAAATTTAATTAATTACCATATGATTATATCCACATCCCATAAGAACTTTGAGTTTCAGAAATCACAACACTTTGAATCCCATATATTTATAGATAAAATGACAACAAACAGAAACAGTTGACTTCTGGGATCAAAATAAAGGCTACGTTAATGGGAAAACATCAAGGGTCAGTCTGGTGTTCCATTAAAAATGGGTGAAAAACTCAAGCTTCGAATGAAAATTGTATGAAAAAGTCATTCCTGAAATTTTCACTTAGAATTTCAAGGTGATACCAGGCTGACTTTTGGAATAGGAAGTTTCCACACAACAAAAGGAGAACAATTCTTTTCACTGAAAGGATAGCGTTCAACAAAATCAGATAATTAGTGTCTTAAACCCTTCAGCAGTTATTTGAAAATTGCCAAGAAAGTATGCAATATATGAGACACTCAAGAAAATCTGATATGATTAGGTTTTTCCTTATTAGTGATAGTTGCTGATACTGAATAGGGGCTACTGAGAACTCAGAAGAATGACTTCAACTTAGATATATTTCAATGCTTTGTTTGCATAACTATGTAGATCTATGGTCCTTGGGAAATAAACAATGTAACAGTAGCAACAAAATTATCAACCTGAGCAGTTCTGCTAGGGAGTGACACCTCTAAGCAGTTTCGAAGGCCATCAACTCTGTCAATACATATGATGCCCATGTCAAGGATATAAGAAAAAAAATAAAAATAAAATAAAAAAAAAAGTACAAAAAAAATAAAATAAAAAAAAGTACAAAAAAATAAAATAAAATAAAGAGTACGATGTAAAGGGAAGATATTCAAGAAGCATGACTACCTTCTGCTGACAGTTCTTTGAAAATACTGTTCTTCTTTAAGCCTCCCCTGACCTCCATATTTTATTTCATCTGTGTTCAGAATAACCTGGATCATCAAAATGTGCGAGAAATATTAGCGATCCCTTCAAAGGGCCTAAAACCAATAGCTTTGCCTTGAGACAGATTAAAATAAGCAAAGATAACAGTGCATGGAAATAAAATAACGTGAGGAGGTACAAATTTCGGGATGAACTGACACTTACTTGATACTCCCCAGCTTCTTCTACACCTACACTGTAACTATCATAAGAATCTGTTGGATGAAAATTGAAAATAAAGAGAAGGGGGCCTCTGATATAAGATATGACCTGCAAATAATGTAAGTGTCAAGTTTCACACTTTCACTACATACATTGACAACAGTTGGAATGGTATATCATACACCACTCAAAATATATAACACGAATATGTCAGAGGGTTTTGTATATATGAACAGGAGAAAGCAATGCATGATGACCATAAGACAAATGAAGAAAAGGACATGCAAATATGCAATATATACCATTGACTGTCAATATACCATTGACTGCCAGAAACTAATGAAGTGGAAAATGAGCCTCCAATCATAAGGAGGGAAAGGAATGAAAACAAATTCAACATACCATTGAACTGTCCTTCACATGGTGTAAGTTTGGTAAACCTCGTGAGAGCACTCGCTCATTTTCATCCAGCTTCATCATATCCTGAAAAGAAGAGGGCAATTAATATTATTACTTAGCATTTTAATCATCTCTGTTTGCTTACAGGCCTGTCACAAACATAAACTCTGAATCTGAATGGCAGCTTCAAGTCAAATATGATTAATAAATAGTTAAGACTGAATTCAACAATCATTAAGGCATTCATGAATTGGCCAGTTCAATACCCAATTACTATCCAACAAGACATGAGTCATAACTTGTGAGCAAGGGCACAACTTTTATACCAAGGGATTAGACTAACACCTTATCAAAGGAAAACAAATCACTGTAAATTCCATCTTTTGCCAAAAGATCCCACTGACGATTAGCAAGTGAATATGAGAAGTTGTTGCTTGATGATGGAAACTCAACTCTCTGGCACAGGTAAAACATTAAAAAATTAGCAATCACAAATAAGGAATTATTCATGAATATTTAATACGAGTAATCCTCACCTTTGGATGCCCAAATTCATTGCCCATGAAGTTCAAATAGGCACGACCACCAATTGTTAACGTGATCAATCTGATCATCTAGCACAAAGGCCAAGAAAATTAATAAAGAATGATAAAAATTATAAGAAAAGTCACCTTGTATTTTATTTATTCGTGATTTTTTAAAGTACAATGTATGTATTTATTTCCAACGCAAGGATATGTGATCTATAGAAATATAAAATAAAATTTATGCTACAGAATTATTGATGCTAAATCAACAGAATTCAGAAGCAGAACCTATAGAGTTATTTACACTAAATCTACAGCACAATTACCCATATTATAACAGCGATGCATAACAGCTGAGAGAGAGGCAGACAATTCTGATTTCTACATTCCTGTTTCCACTTCTAAATAGCAAAACTATGAAATTAGTGAACGACATACTTTATGTAATGAAGATCCCCTCAATAAAGATTCCTTATAGTGTTGTGAATGCTCATCTATTTGGCCAAACAATATTTCTGCATATGACCGCCCACCAGATATAGACTGGTGGCAAGATAAGAAAAAATCAGATTTAAAACGATACCCCAAAAATAAAGCTCACAGTTCTTCTAGAAATTGAAAAGGGTATGTTACCTGGTTGTGATTTTCAGCATACATAAGCATCTTATTGGCATATTCTCTATTGGAAATTAATGTGTTAACAATCTGCAGCATGAGATGCAACAGCAATGAAATTATAGACTTTAATTAAAAATAAATGAATAAAAGAATAAACGGACCAACCAAGACATCCCATTTAATAATGGAATGAAAACTATACTCAATTATAACCTTAGTCATGCTCCATTCATGATCAGGAACACTGTCAAGAAAAGTTGACCACATCTCGGACACAGAAAGGTTGACATAGTAATCAAATCCCAATCCACCTTGAGAAGTTGGCTCACATAATCCAGGATAATATGTTGCCTGAACAATTATGGATACAAACATTATACACAGAGCAAGGTGAATATCTCAGGATAATGACTGCTTAGCTTTCAAAACTATGCAGCCTAAAAGTAACAGGTGGGGGATGGTAGAGGCAGAATAAATGCAAATCAATGAAGGAATAGGTGGAGTTAAATTAGAATCCCAAGGAAATTATCATAGTATTATAGAAAGTTAAATGCTCTTGGGTTTTTGGTGAAAGTCATGAATTTGTTGTAACTCTATAAAGTATTAGCAATTTCAGGGCTTCATCACAGAATCAAATCCTTCATAACTTGTGTTAGTGTAGCCTCTTTAACCTAATTTGATCACAATTATGTCAAATAATGACCGTTCACTACCTCGTTGTCCTTAAGGTATTAGAGTAACATTATCCAAGTTGTTTATGATTTGTTGCTAAATAGATTACCTTACTCCAATGCACACTCCTGATTGCCACATAGATAGCAAGGAATTGTAGTTTTGTGATATTGCAAAGTTTGGCAACAGAAAACAACCAGACAAGAGAACATTTGGCTAAAAATATTATATTTAAATTTTACAGCTGAAAGGAGAATTAAAGTTCCAGTTCAAAAAGAAAATTATGCACCTCACTAGTTTCCCTTTAAAGAAAATAACTACTGTGATAATTGAATGGAAAATTGAAAAATCTAAAGAAAACTCAACCATTATGATAGAAAGAATTAGGGTAGAAAGAATTTCTTTTATTGATAAAGCAAAGAAAAATGCAGAAACAAATGAAGAAACAAAGAGATAGAGCCTGGCTCCCAGCTTTGAGGAATTCCCCAAGCCCCTACCTACCACATATGGCCAGTAACCCAGAGTCTGGATATCCCCCTGTGATCTTATCATATTATCCCTCTTCTCAAGATTTTAACCAACAATTCCTGCCTTAGTCTTCATTCAGCTAAATTTAAAACTATATCCGTCATTATATCTATTCTAGCCTTACCTTGCATTACAACTTTCTACTGGCAAAGACATTGTTAGATATATTATGTCCTTCATGTTCCTAGTTCTCCGAAGTCTGTTTCCCAAAAGAGTTAGTTGTCAAGCTATATCATTGTTTGCTTTAGTTCATTTTGATGTTTTGAGTCCCAATCATATTATGTCTACTTTGCACCTTTATTTTACTCTAGTTGTATTTGGTTGTTTTTATTGGAAAATCGATTTGAGTTGTTTTATATCTTTTAGAGATGTAATAATGAAATCCTAATGCAAACTCATGGCATTCTACACCTAACATCGTGTGCTCATATCCTTCAACAAAATGAGGTTGCTAAAAGACAACTCGAACCCTCTAACTTCATAGACATGCCGCTTTCTAATTATAAGGTGATGTTGTTCTCACTACTTGCTATCTCATTAAACGGAAGCCATCGCCTATCCTTAGTAACCAAGTATCCTATTCTCTGTTATTTCCCCAACCGGCCTCTACATTCCTTAGCACCTCATGTCCTTAGCTATACCTGTTTTTTTTTTCATAATCTAAAGCCAGGGTCTTGATAAGTTGTCTCAATCCTACAAGGGTTACTTATTGGTCTCACAAGGATTACCAGGGTTACTCTTCCACTTCACCGATATCTAGTCTTGGCTGTTTTAATCTTTTGAGTCTGTTCCTTTCTTTGGGTCCTCTTCCTCCACTCCTGACTTTTGCTGACTTTCTCTCTGCATCTTTATCTCTTCCTCCGATACCAGTTGAGTTCACCCCACCACAGAATTAACTCCTACTCAAGACAACCTGACTCATGTTCGCCCCTAACATTTCTATCATTGCATCTATCTTCACCACCTAAACCAACCCCTACTCATGAGGCTGATGAGATCAAAACACCACAATGACAACTACTCCTCCTCCTGCTACAACTTTGCCTCCTAATGCAGACCTTCCCATTACTCTCTAAAAAGGTATTTGATCTACTCATAATCCCTCTCCCCATTATGTTAATTAGAGTTATCATTGCATATCTCCTTTGCACTATCACTATGCTTGTCTTTCTTCTTTGTCCTATATGTCTATGCCAAAGACTGTGGATGAGGCTTTATCCCATCATGGGTGGTGACAAGCTATGGTTGATGAATCATGTGCACTTTAGAGCAATGGGACTTGGGACTTTGTTTGTGTTAGAATAGTTGTAAAATAGTTCAGTATATATATAGTCCCACATCGTATGAGCTCAACCTATTAGGTCTTTTAGTCTCTTTAAATAGAGAGCTCTTGTACATTGTAATACACCATGTGATTATTCAATATACAATTATTCTTTAATCTCAAGTTGGTACCAGAGCTATTTCGTTCTAGGAACCCTCGCTTCCGCTTAGAAATCTTGTTCTTCGCTTTAAAACCTAAGCCCACTGCTTAGGAGTCATCTTTTCTTTGTCGTGCGTCCTTCCGGCAAGCCATCAAGGACTGTAAGTCCTCTCCTGCACGTGTCCACATCCCCAAACAGTCACCGGAGCCACCGTCAGCCACTGTTCAGGCTGCCGGAGTACTTTTCCGGCGAGATTTCAGTCTGGAACGAACGCGAACAGCACCCTCTCCTCCCGGCGACCTGCTCTGTGGAAGTCCGGCCACCATCGGAGTTGTCACGCGCTCTCACGCGCCTCCTGTCTTCTCTGCACGTGGGCTTCACGCGCCACCTTCTGCCGGCGCGTGAGCACTATTCCGGCGGCTTTTTCCGGCCGTTCTTGGACAGAACTTCTCGCCTTCTTCTCCTCTTTTCGGATATGTGTTTGGTTCTTTGTGGGTCTCACTTTAGACGCGTGGTTCTCCTTGATTGGATATTGTTTGCCTTCGTTTACGACTTTTATATTCTGTTTTTAAATGGCAGCAGCGTCCACTGATCTCTCGGAGGTTAACTCTCCTTGTCCTCCTGTCAAAACTTCCTCAGGAATCATCTCTACTAATATTGGGCCCATTACATCTTCCAAACTGAAGGATTCTACCTCTCTTGCTGCGAATATAGCTCAGTCAGACAATGCATCATTTGGTTCAGTTTCTCTCTCACTTGCGGACTATGCTGCACTCCAAACTCTTCTCAAGAAGGCTTCTCCTCAGTCTCAACCATATACTGGTAATCCCGTTGCTTGTGTTTCTCATTCTACATCACTTGGCACTTGGATATTTGACTCAGGTGCTACCGATCATCTCTGTGGTAACAAGGAACTCTTTACATCTCTTACTTATTCTGATCATTTACCTTCTTTTACCCTTGCGGATGGAACCAAAGCCCCAGTTCGTGGGATTGGACAAGCTCGTCCGACCTCTACCTTGGCCTTGACATCTGTTTATTACATTCCTGGCATCCCTTATAACTTAATTTCTATTAGTAATTTGATCCACTCCCTCACTTGCACCATTACTTTCTCTAACCATTCTGTTTCTGTGCAGGATCCGGGTACGGGGGAAATGATTGGAGTGGGTCGTGAGTCACGGGGGCTTTACTATCTGGATGTGCCTCGTCCTTCAGTGGCACTCTCTCTCACAGAATCTCCACAACTTATCCACAGTCGCCTCGGTCATCCAAGTCTTTCAAAGTTGCAGAAAATGGTTCCTCTTTTATCCGGTCTTCAGTCTTTAGATTATGTGTCATGTCAACAAGGGAAGCATACACGTTCCTCTTTTGCCAGTCGAGTCAATAAACGAGCTGATGCCCCTTTCTCTCTTGTTCATTCAGATATCCGGGGTCCAAGTCGTACCTTGTCTGTTTTAGGTTTTCGGTATTTCGTTACCTTCATTGATGATTTTTCCCGTTGCACTTGGGTCTATTTAATGAAAAATCGTTCTGAGTTATTTTCCATTTATAAAAAGTTTTATACTGAGATTCATACTCAATTTGGTGTTTCTATTCGTATTCTACGTAGTGATAATGCTAAGGAATATGTTTCTATTGATTTTTCTAATTTCTTGGCCACACAAGGTACTTTACATCAAACTACTTGTCCTCACACTCCACAACAAAATGGGGTGGCTGAACGTAAAAACAAACATCTCATTGAAACTGCACGTACCCTTCTTCTTCATATGCAGGTTCCCCTTCACTTCTGGGCAGATGCTGTACTCATCTCTTGTTTTCTCATCAATCGCATGCCCTCATCTGTGCTCAACAATGACATTCTTTATAACCTATTGCTTCCAGATGTTCCTCTTTATCCTCTAACTCCACATGTCTTTGGTTGTACTTGTTTTGTTCATGATCTCACTCCTGGTAAGGATAAGTTAACATCCAAAGCCTTTCAATGTATCTTTCTTGGTTATTCTCGTCTTCAAAAGGGTTATCGTTGTTATTCTCCCGATCTTAAGCGTTACTTAGTTTCCGCTGATGTCACTTTTCTTGATCAACAACCCTTTAATTCTATTCCATCTCAGTTGTCACAGGTTGATCATGTTCTTCCTGTCCCTTTTCTTGACTTGTCTTTGCCAGCTGCAGGTGCTTCTCTTCCAAATGAGCAACCTATTGCTTCTATACCTAAGGACCGTCATCAGCGTCGCAAAACTGTGCCTTCTGTCGACTCGACTCTTGCTGACTCATCGCCCACTGTTGTTGCTTCTTCCTCTCCGGATCCTTCACCAGAGACTCTTCCCATTGCTCAAAGAAAAGGTACACGTACTACTCGTAACCCTTATCCTCTTTATACTTTTTTGAGCTATGACCGTCTTTCTTCACCTCATTTCACCTTTGTTTATAGTCTTTCTTCTATTTCTATTCCTAAGACCACAGGTGAAGCACTTTCCCATCCAGGGTGGCGCCAAGCGATGCTTGATGAGATGACTGCACTTCATTCCAATGGCACTTGGGATCTTGTTTCTGCTCCTCCAGAGAAGTCTACAGTTGGTTGTCGCTGGGTGTTTACTGTGAAAGTTGGACCTGATGGCCATATTGATCGACTCAAGGCCCGCCTAGTTGCAAAGGGTTTTACTCAAATATTCGGCCTTGATTATAGCGATACATTCTCTCCGGTCGCTAAGATGGCGTCAGTTCGCCTATTTCTTGCTCTTGCTGCTATTCGTCACTGGCCACTCCTTCAACTTGACATCAAAAATGCCTTTCTTCATGGTGATTTACAAGAAGAAGTTTATATGGAGCAACCACCGGGTTTTGTTGCTCAGGGGGAGTCTGGGAAGGTGTGTCGTCTTCGCAAATCCTTATATGGTCTCAAGCAGTCTCCTCGGGCATGGTTCAGTCGCCTCAGTTCTGCTGTTCAGGAGTTTGGCTTAATTCGTAGTAAAGTTGACCACTCTGTGTTTTATAGGATCACATCTCCTGATAAGTGCATCTATTTGTTAGTCTATGTTGATGACATCATCCTCACCGGGAGTGATCAAGCTGGAATTTGTCAGTTAAAACAGTATTTATTCAGTCAATTTCAGACAAAGGACCTCGGGAAGCTGCGTTACTTCTTGGGAATTGAGGTAGCACAATCTAGACAGGGCATTTCTATCTGTCAAAGGAAGTATGCCTTGGATATCCTAGAAGAGACTGGTATGTTGGCGTGTAAGCCAGTTGACACACCCATGGATCCTACTATCAAATTACTACCCGGACAAGGAGAACCATTATCTAATCCTGGACGTTATCGGAGGTTGATTGGGAAGCTCAATTATCTCACTGTGACTAGGCCGGACATTTCTTTTGCTGTTAGTGTCGCTAGTCAGTTTCTTGATTCTCCGTGTGATTCTCATTGGGATGCTGCTGTTAGGATCCTTCGTTACATCAAAGGAGCACCAGGGAAAGGTTTATTATATTCAGATCAGGGAAATACAGAAATTTGTGGTTATTCAGATGCCGATTGGGCAGGATCACCCTCGGATAGGCGCTCTACTTCAGGCTATTGTGTTTTCTTTGGAGGAAACCTGATTTCTTGGAAAAGTAAGAAACAAACTGTTGTTGCCCGATCTAGTGCAGAGGCCGAGTATCGTGCAATGGGAGTTGCTACCTGCGAGCTAATCTGGTTAAAGCAGTTGATTCGGGAGCTCCATCTTTGTGAACAGAAGAAACCCATGACTCTCATTTGTGACAAACAAGCTGCACTACATATATCCTCTAATCCTGTATTTCATGAGAGAACCAAACATATAGAGATCGATTGTCATTTCATTCGCGAAAAGATTCAGTCAGGAGAAATCAAAACGGAATTTGTCAACTCCAATGATCAACTCGCGGATGTCTTCACTAAAGCTCTTAGGGGTCCTCGGGTTGAATATATTTGTGGCAAGCTGGGTGCTTACAATGTATATGCTCCAGCTTGAGGGGGAGTGTTAGAATAGTTGTAAAATAGTTCAGTATATATATAGTTCCACATCGTATGAGCTCAACCTATTAGGTCTTTTAGTCTCTTTAAATAGAGAGCTCTTGTACATTGTAATACACCATGTGATTATTCAATATACAATTATTCTTTAATCTCAAGTGTTTGTTTTCCTCGAGGGAAGTCTATTGTGATCTTCACAATCAAGGTTGACCCTGATGAATAAGTTGATCCTCTTAAGCCTCGTTTGATAGAAAAAGTGTATACATAGATTTTGGACCAGATCATTAGGACAACTTCCCCCCGATAGCGAAAATGGCTATGAGACACTGGCTCCTTTATCGACTAGACATTAAGAATAATTTTCTACATGGTAATCTCACTGAAGAAGTCTATATGGAGCAACCACCTAGATTTGTTGCTCAAGGGAGTCTTTTGGACTTTTTTGTCAACATCAACAACACATTTATCAACACATTTATCCCAAGCACATTTATCCATCCTCGTATAACCACACATCCACCTTAACATCCTCATCTCTGCTACTCTCATTTTATGCTCGTGTTGCCTATGTGCTGGCCAACATTCAACTCCATATGACATTGCAGGCCTTGCTACTGTTTTATAGAATTTTCCTTTTAATTTAAAGGGAATTTTGTGGTCACACAAAAACCCAGATGCACTACGCCATTTCATCCACTCTGCTATGATTCTATGATTTACATCCTCATCAATCTCTCCACCTTTTTGCAAAATGGATCTTAGGTATCTAAAAGCATCTTTCTTGGGTACCTCTTGACCAAGTAGATGCACGGGATATTAGTCTACATCTCTTACGGTAAAAAACTCACTCTTTAAATACTCAGTCTTGCTCCGGCTTAATGTGAATCCTTTAGACTCTAATGTGTTTCTCCACAATTCAAGTTTTCTATTAACAACGTCTTTGGTCTCGTCAATAAGCACAATATCATCTGCAAAAAGCATACACTATGGCACTTCCTCTTGAATATCTTTTGTTAGTTCATCCATAACTAAGGCAAAGAGATAAGGATTTAGAGCCGAACCTTGGTGTACACCTACCGTGATAGGAAAATAACTTGATGTTCCATTACAAGCTTTCACACTGTAGTTGCCTCATCATACATATCCTTGATTGTCTTTACATATTCTGATGGTACTTTTTTCTTCTCAAGAACCCACCATAAAACTTTCCTTAGGACCCTATCATATGCTTTCTCAAGATCTATGAACACCATATGTAAGTCCGTCTTCTATGAACACCATATTTTTTTGGACTTCTTTCTCGGTTTTGCAAATTTTAGTATGGCCTTAAACAATTTCCTAGGGTTTGGTTTGACAAATTTAAAACTGCGGTTTAACGGTTTGATAGGGCTCAGTGTGAGGCAAACAACTCAATCGTCTAACGCCGTTCAGCCAAAGGGTGCATTAATTTGGTTGTATATGTTGATAACATAGTCATTATAGGTAGTGAGAATCGCATCACTCGAGTATAACAATATCTTTGTAATCACTTTCAAACAAATGAACTCGCAAAACTTCGATACTTCGTACGGATAAATATAGCACATCTTTCATTTAGCTACATGGACAACAAACCAGCTAGCAAATTGGAAACATGTACACAGTTCAAATTCACAATAAATGGCCAAATTGTCTTTCTTTCTTTTTTTCACTTTTCAAGAAGTGCTACATACATAAGTATGCAAAAGTATCTAAATAAAAGAAAAGAACATAAATACTTACATCTTCCGCTATTGTGACAATATTTGGGTGAAAAAAATGTAGTATCTCATTGGCCAAAATAAGATATAATAGTGCGTCCTTGTCAACATATTGGTTGCAGTACCTGAATGAAAATAGCATTTGTAATCTATACATTTTCAATGTCATTATGGTTCCTACTTTGAAAAACAATCTACTAATATAATTCAGTTGACTTGAAACTACGCAAATTTCAAGTTGTTACAGAAGGAGAAACAAAAAACAAAAAAATTGAAAATGAAAATGACACAGGAAACCTTAAAGAATCTTATAAAGGGAAGAAATATGATATGTATGCCTTGCCAACAGCATCAGGATTCAAGCCATGTCTTGGAACTAAAATACTGTTAGGGGGCGTTTGGTAGGAGTTTAATTTGTAGATACCCAGGCAAATGGATCTGGTATTTCAATATATCTATGTTTGGTACATGGTTTTAAAAAATTCATCTAGGAAAATGATTTTCCCAGCATTTGATATTTGTTTGGAAATTGTGAGTAAAAACATTGTTGAAGAATACCACCTAGAAGGTGGTATTTTCGGATTACCGGCAAAATGCAAAAAGGAGCGCGAAGCTAGGTGACGAAAATAACCCTGTATTCAGCCTACCAAAAATTACTCTTATTTAGTCAAGGGTTGTTGTAATTTCGCCCTATTTTCCCAGCAATATTTTACCTTTAACCAAACATAGACTTAGGAAACTTAAACCAATTTTTCCAGTAATATTTCAGCCTACAAAACAACTTTTTTTTAACTTTCCTAGAAAATTCACTTTCTCACTATATTCCCAATAATTGTAATTTCCCGATAAAAAAAATTTCTCCTCTACTAAACGCCCCCTTAGGAACCCCTTATTTAGAAAAGTAGGATAGAAGAAATAATGGTGGACCCAAAGAATCATGTAGGCCCGATTTTGTTAGTAAGGCCTAGTTAGCTCCCAAGCAGGGAGTTAACAGGGATAGTTTGGGAAATCCTTACAAAAGTAGTTAGTTAGGTCGTTAGGATTATAAATAGGGTTGAGGGAATACATGTAAGGTAGTTAGACAGCTAGAAAGGAGAGGCAAGGCCAGAGACTAGGATTTCTCAGTAGGTTAAGAGCCTTGTGAGAGAGAGTCTTTCTAATTTCCTACCTCGGGGAAACTCATCTGGAGTCTAAGGGAGAGCTTTATCAATAAAGATTCAATCAAAGCTCATCTTATACTCTCTGTTTTCCCAATTCTTGAGTTTGTATCAAATAACTTTACAAAAGCCAGCTAAAATTCAAATATACAAATAATATATATATATATATATATATATATATATATATATATATATATATATGTGGGGTTTACATTTCTGCAGCGGCTGTACGTGCAGCAATCAAATACTTGCCATATATATACTTGAAAGCATTAAATGCAGGAAATCATAACCATACAAAGGATGAAAGCATTAAATGTGAGGAATCATAACCATACACTTGTCGTTGCTGTACGTAAAGCGGCTGCAGAAATGATTTTATATATATATATATATATATATATATATATATATATATAATAAGAAGCAATGAAGTTTGGAAAAGGCCTTACTCATCCAAGTCACCAGTAAAAGAAGCAAAACCATTGTGAGTATACATCATAGATGAAACTGAATGGAACTGGAAACCATCAATTTGATACTCCACAACCCACCTGTTCAGACATCATTTCATGAGTAATTTATCATATACCAGCATTTCCTGCCAAATGATGAAGCAATAAAAAATAAAAAACAAACGATAAAAATAAAATCACAATCATGTACGAAAAAACAGTTATGTAACAGACCAATCAGGTAGAAGGGCAATGAATCAAAGAGGCAAGTATAACTACTAGTCTACTATACTGTCTTTGCTTTGCAATTGCATATACCAGTTCAAGTTTGAGAGAAGGAAATACAAAACATCAGGGTCGCCATATTTGAACATTCTGGTTCCCCAGAATTTGTGTTGCCCTCGTTTACCTATTCAAGAAGTAAAGTTGGAAACATAAATGGTATTTACAGGTGTTAGAATAAGAAACCAAAAGAGTTATTAACAAAGACGTAACAAACACCGAAACATTGAAGCATACAAAGCAAATTCTCATTTAACAAAAGATTAAAAAATATACTATACATCAAAGAATTTTGCACCAAAATCATTCATAAATGAAGATTATATCTGTATGGCATTAGAAGTCAGAAAATACTCTCAAAACTGAAAGAAATGTAGAAAATATTTCACATATTAGGGCAAAAGGAAGCTCCTTAGCTTCACGAGGAACAGAGCTACAGCATACATCAAATATGTATCTTGTTTCCAAGAATATCAATTCCTGACCACAATATAAGGACATTGTCAGAAATGTAAAATCATGCATGTGTCTTCACCTAAAAGCATAAATTTTTGGGAGAATCAGTTAATGAAAAACATAAAAAATAAAAAATACTCAAGGTTTCACTTCAGGATAACTTTGATAACTGAAACACAAAACATGAATATATAAATATCATACTCAGGAAACACAAAAAAAAAAAAAAAAAGGTTCTTATCTGACAACAAAATAATTTACAAAAAGGAGACAAAGAGTTCAATGAGATATAAATAAAAAGTGCTTGCCCAAAAAGGATGGCTACCCTTTTAACAATAGTATTGTGGTAATATGTATTTCAATATTCAGAATGCAGAGATGAAATTAGATAGATCAAGAATCGACATCAAGATAACATAAGAAACGTTATTCCTAGACTAATAACTGATATCATATCAGACTGACAGATAAATATCAGGATGGCAAGAAAAAAACAAACAACTTGCACTATGACGAGTTTCAAGCAGCATGAACAGGTACCAGAATGAAAATAACAGTCATTAGATCCATCAAACATTGATAATCCAACCATCTCATCTGCAGCTGCGTATGAATGGACAATATCTAAGAAGACCAGCAATCCTAGTCCTGCGCAGCAAAAAGAAGAGTTAGCAAAATAGCTTTTTTGCACCACAAAGATCAACATCAACATCATCAACATCAACAACACCTTTATCCCAAATTAATTGGGGTCGGTGGTAGATGAACCCAAATGAAAGATACAAAAAGGTTGAAAAAAAAACATAAAAGTAAAAATAAAAATAAATAAATAGAATAGTAATAATATATATATATGTAGAAAATCAGAATTCAAACATGTTTCCGTTTTTATTTCCTATTAATTAGGATTGATTATGATTGATTAGGATTGATTGTGATTGATTAGAATTGATTGTGATTAGGATTGATTAGTCATCGCTTCGTCATTCTTAGCGATTCTTTCTTGTATAAATACTCACTCATGTAAATTATTCAATATCAATATACAAAAACTTCTTTTCAATATGGTATCAAGAGCGGGTTCATTCCAACCCTAATTCAAATCTGAAATAACCATCCAAACACTTCCATCACCGTCAAACACCTCCTAAACACCTCCTTGAATATGTCCATCACAGAAACCTAGTCTACTGACCTCCGATCAAGAAAGTGAGGTGACCATTCGACTCAGAAGGATCCGACGAGTCGACCGCCGCTTGACCCATCGTCGTCAACCGCCGCACGTGCCGCCACGCGCCGTCATACGCGCGGCCAGTCTCCGGCGCGTGAGCTCCACGCGCCGCCTTCCCAACGTCTTTTTCCGCCGCGACTTGCACAGACCTTCTCGCCGGCTTCTCCCCTTCCTGTTCCAGAGGTCAGATCAAAAATTTACAAAACTTGATTTTTCATCAACGGTCAACCCTTCTCTTTCTATTCATGGCTTCCTCAAAACACTCTTCCGCCTCCTCATCTGCCCCAAATTCTCAGTCCTCTGGAGACAACTTAGGTTTGCAGATCACCAATCACCGGTTGAACGGTAAGAATTTTCTGCAATGGTTCCAATCAGTTAAGTTGGTCATCCGGGCAAAGGGTAAGATGGGCTATCTTGAGGGAAGAATTAAGAAACCTACTGAGAATTCTCTTGATTATGACGATTGGGAGATTAATAATTCCTTGGTCATGGCTTGGCTGACTAATTCCATGGAACCACAGATTGGCCAAACCTATATGTTCTTTGATACTGCCAAGGAAATTTGGGATGTTGTTCAACAGAATTACTCCGATCTGGAGAATACCTCTCAAGTTTTTGAACTGAGAAATAAGTTGAGAGACTTTCGTCAAAGGGGTATGACTGTTACTGAATATTTTACTGCACTAACGAATTTATGGCAGGAATTGGATCTTTATTATGCATCTAATCTTAAGGGATTGGAAGCTAATACCCAATTTAAAAAACACTTGGAGAAGGAAAGACTGTATGATTTCCTTGCCGGACTCAACCGAGATCTTGATGAGGTTCGTGGTCGAATATTGGGGCAGCTACCGTTACCTTCACTTGCTGACGCCTTTGCTGAAGTTCGTCGAGAAGCCAGTAGACGGAGAGTTATGCTGGGAGAAAAGGAGTCGCTTGATAAGCCTGATGATATGTCTGCATTAGCTGCCAACCATACCATTGACCGTTCCTCCGGAGAATCAAAAGGGGATGGTCGTCCATGGTGCACCCACTGCAATAAAATTGGTCATACCCGTGAGAAATGTTGGGAAATCCACGGGAAACCTGCAAATTGGAAGCCCAAAGGACAAAATAAAGGTCGTGCATATCAGGTCTCTACTGATGACAAGGTTGATGAGCCTCATGCATCCTCTGACTCTGATGGTGTCTTTCTTAGCAAGACTCAGTTTGAACAACTTCAGAGACTTTTGACTCAACCTCCTAAGGCCACTAGTCATGTGGTCCAGCAAGGTACAACTTTCCATGTTGATAGTCAAAATCATTGGATCCTTGATTCTAGAGCCTCTGATCATATGACAGGTAATCTTGGCTTGTTTTGTTCATACACTCCATATTCTGAACCTTCTCGGGTCAAGATCGCCGATGGCAGTTTTTCCCAGATTGCGGGACACGGAACCATTAAACTTTCTGAGCTGATTACTTTGACATCAGTTCTTTATGTTCCTTCTCTGACCTGTAATCTCATTTCCATTAGCAAGCTCACCTCTGAGTTGAATTGCTTTGCTAAATTCTTTCCACATGGTTGTGTTTTTCAGGAACAGGACTCGGAGAGGATGATTAGCAGTGCTAGAGAGGATGGTGGACTTTACTACTTTGAGGAGGATGTGACTCATGAAGCTGTTTTCGTAGAAAAAAACTCTATGTTTCCTTTTGATTCATGTAATGATGTTATGCTGTGGCATCGTAGGCTAGGCCATCCAAATTTTATTTATATTCAGAAGTTGTTGCCAAACTTATTTATTAATAAAAGTCCAAGTTTGTTTTCTTGTGATATTTGTCAACTTGCCAAGCATACTCGTGCTCATTTATCCTTCTAAAGTTCACCATGACTCTTCCCCATTTTCCTTAATTCACAGTGACATATGGGGTCCAGCCCGTGTTAAAAATATTTCAGGTACTCGATGGTTCATTACCTTCATTGATGACCATTCTCGAGTCTGTTGGGTGTATCTTCTAAAGGATAAGTCCAATGCTGCATCCGTGTTTAAAAAATTTCATGCCATGGTTCAAACTCAATTCCAAGTTGCTATACAAATTCTTCGTACAGATAATGGCAAAGAGTATTTTAACTCTATTCTTGGAGAATATCTTTCCCAACATGGCATCCTTCACCAAAGCTCGTGTCCTGACACACCCCAACAAAACGGAGTTGCGGAAAGAAAAAATCGACATCTCCTTGAAGTTGCTCGGGCTCTTATGTTTACCACGAGTGTTCCTAAATATCTTTGGGGAGAGCCACTTCTCACTGCCTCGTATCTGATAAATCGAATGCCATCTCGCATTCTGAAATTTCAGTCTCCTCTTTCTAGTCTTGTTCGTATCTTCCCTTCCTTCCGAGGTGTCTCCTTCTTACCTCTCAAGTTATTTGGTTGCGTTGTATTTGTCCATATTCCCTCCCATCAACGGTCTAAGCTTGATCCTAAGTCTCTTCAGTGTGTCTTTATTGGTTATTCTTCTACTCAACGTGGCTATAAATGTTATTCACCCTCTCTTCGTAAGGTCTTTGTCTCTACGGATGTCACTTTTTCTGAGAATGACCCTTTTTTCCCCTCGACTTCTCTTCAGGGGGAGTCTGTAGGAGTAGATGAAGATCAATCATGGGAACCTACTGATGGCACGGTATTACCTCTATTTTGGGAAACAGGGGGAGCTACAGAATCCTCACCATCAAGAGCCTCCTCAAAATGGGGACAAGTTTATTGCAGGCGAAAGCCTCCTCAAAGTGTGAATAACCCAGAGCCTCTACACTGCCAGGATTCTAAACCATGTTCTAGTTCCAGCACCCCAATACTTGAGTGTCATGGTGAAAATGATCTACACTTGCCCATTGCTCTCAGAAAAGGTACTCGATCTTGTACTACTCATCCTATTTCTAATCATATTTCATATGGAAAGTTGTCCCCAGGGTTTCGTGCTTTCAATACTATGTTGGATAGTACAAAGATACCGAGAAATATACATGAGGCTCTCAATGATAAAAAATGGAGGGATGCTGTCTTTGAAGAAATGAATGTTTTAGAAAGAAATGGAACTTGGGAGATAGTGACCCTACCCAAAGGAAAACAGGCAGTAAGATGCAAATGGGTGTTTACAATAAAATTCAATGCAGATAATAGCATCAACAGATACAAGGCAAGATTGGTTGCAAAGGGTTTCACTCAGACTCATGGGATAGATTATCATGAGACTTTTCCTCCGGTTGCTAAAGTCAATACCATCCGAGTTCTCTTATCTCTTGCTGCCAATCTAGATTGGCCTCTGCAACAGTTAGATGTGAAGAATGCATTCCTAAATGGTGACTTACATGAAGAAGTCTATATGGATCCTCCACCTGGTTTTGAAAAGGAAAATGGATCAGTGTGTAAACTAAAAAAGTCTCTATATGGATTGAAACAATCTCCCAGAGAATGGTTCGACAAATTCTCACAAGCAGTCAAAAGAAGAGGCTTCATTCAAGCACAGACTGATCATACTCTCTTCCACAAACACTCTAAGGATGGTAAAATTGCTATTCTTATTGTATATGTAGATGATATAATTCTTACAGGTGATGATATTGAGGAATTGAACACCTTGAAGAAATTTCTAGCAACTCAATTTGAACTCAAAGACCTTGGCACTCTCAAATATTTCCTTGGTATGGAAGTTGCTAGGAGCAAAACAGGCATCACTCTAACACAAAAGAAATATGTTCTAGATCTTTTGTTGGAAACAGGAATGTTAGGGTGTAAACCTGCTGAGACACCTGTGGAACCTAATACCAAGTTAGGTATTGAAGATGGGAATGAGGTGGATAAAGAACAATATCAGCGATTGGTTGGTAAACTAATCTACTTATCTCATACGCGTCCTGACATTGCCTTTGCGGTGAGTATGATTAGTCAATTCATGCACTCACCCAAGGAGAAGCATCTTAGTGCAGTCTATAGGGTGCTTAGATACCTCAAGAATACTCCAGGAAGAGGATTATTCTTTAAAAAGGGGTATAAAAGGACAATTGAAATCTACACTGATGCAGATTGGGCAGGCTCATCAGTAGACAGGAGATCTACCTCAGGCTATTGCACCTATGTGTGGGGAAATCTTGTTACTTGGAGAAGCAAAAAGCAAACAGTGGTTGCAAGAAATAGTGCTAAAGCAGAATTTCGAGCTTTAGCTCATGGAGTTTGTGAAGGAATCTGGTTGAGAAGACTTCTTCAAGAGTTGAAGATTTCATATTCCCTACCAATAAAACTATATTGCGACAACAAGGCAGCTGTTAGCATTGCTCAAAATCCTGTGCATCATGATCGAACAAAGCACGTGGAAGTTGATCGTGACTTCATCAAAGAAAAATTAGATGATGGAAGTGTGCGTTTGATATATGTTCCAACCAAAGAGCAAACGACAGATATCCTTACCAAGGGCCTACACCGTCCAGCATTCGAAAACTTGATTGGCAAGTTGGGAATGATCAATATTTACCTCCCAACTTGAGGGGAAGTGTAGAAAATCAGAATTCAAACATGTTTCCGTTTTTATTTCCTATTAATTAGGATTGATTATGATTGATTAGGATTGATTGTGATTGATTAGAATTGATTGTGATTACGATTGATTAGTCATCGCTTAGTCATTATTAGCGAATCTTTCTTGTATAAATACTCACTCATGTAAATTATTAAATATCAATATACAAAAACTTCTTTTCAATAATATATATATATAAATATAAAAGTAAAAGTAAAAAAGAAAGGGAAAAGAAGAAGAGGGGAAACGAAGGGGAAAAGGACTAAAAAGGGACCATCTGAAACATAGGAATAACAAAGGGTCTAACCCTCCACCATGCTTATAGCTTTTCTCCATTCCGTTCTGAGGCATACCGTCCGCCAATCTATATCCCACTCCATTAAATCTTGTTTCACTACCTTCCCCCAAGTAAGTTTCGGTCTACCTCTACCACTTTTTGTGTTGAGCTCTTGGTAACAAACTTTTGTTCTTACGGGAGCATCCAGGGGCCTTCTTATTACTTGCCCAAACCACCTCAATCTATGTTCTCTCATCTTCTCAGCCACCGGTAGTACTCCTACCTTTCGTCGAATATCTTCATTTCTTATCTTATCCATCCTCGTATACCCACACATCCACCATAACATCCTCATCTCTGCTACTCCCATTTTATGCTCATGTTGCCTGTGTGCTGGCCAGCATTCAGCTGATGTAGCATTGCAGGTTTTACTGCTGTTTTATAGAATTTTCCTTTTAACTTAAAGGGGATTTTGTGGTCACACAAAAACCCAGATGCATTGCGCCATTTCATCCACCCTGCTCTGATTCTATGATTTACATCCTCATCAATCTCTCCACCTTTTTGCAAAATGGAGCCTAGGTATTTAAAAGCGTCTTTCTTGGGTACCTCTTGATCACTTAGATGTACAAGATATTGGTCTACATCTCTTACCTGAGAAAACTCACACTTCAGATACTCCGTCTTGCTTTGACTTAATGTGAATCCTTTAGATTCCAATGTGCTTCTCCACAATTCAAGTTTTCTATTAACACCATCCTTGCTCTCATCAATAAGCACAATATCGTCTGCAAAAAGCATACACCATGGCACTTCCTCTTGAATATCTTTTGTTAGTTCATCCATAACTAAGGAAAAGAGATAAGGACTTAGAGCTGACCCTTGGTGTACATCTACCGTGATAGGGAAATAACTTGATGTTCCGTTACAAGCTTTCACACATGTAGTAGCCCCATCATACATATCCTTGATGGTACCTTTTTCTTCTCCAGAACCCACCATGAAACTTTCGTTGGAACCCTATCTTCTCAAGGTCTATGAACACCATATGTAAGTCCTTCTTCTTTTCTCGATATCTTTCCATTAGTTGTCGCATTAAGAAAATGGCTTCCATGGTACATCTTCCTGGCATAAATCCAAATTGATTTACAGAAACCTTGGTATCTCTCCTCAAGCGATGCTCAATAACTCTCTCTCACAACTTCATAGTATGGCTCATTAGCTAAATGCCTCTATAGTTTAAACAATTCTGTATATCTCCCTTGTTTTTGTAGATAGGCACAATCATACTTTTCCTCCATGCATCAGGCATCTTATTTGTTTGGAGAATCTTATTGAAAAGATTGGTCAACCATTTTACAAAGATGAAGAGGAGAAATTATGTCATTATATATAAATAGGAAAAATGTTTCTCTTGAAACAGAAGATAAAGTTATCTCCTACAATCCCTAAATGGCATCATTTTGGGGTATAAGAAAATAAATGCAAGGTATTTTGAAAATTTTATTTTCCTCTTATATCATTAACTTTACTGAAATACCCTGCATTATTTTTCCCAAACCCCAAAATGGCATCATTTTGGGATTGCAGGAGATAACTTTATCTTATGTTGCAAGAGAAATGTTGATACCATGTATATATATAGCCTTTAATGCAAAATAGGGAAACATATATTTGTGCAGTTATCATTTCTTGCTTAAATTGCTTTAGCTTTCTTATCTTCTTTTATTCTAGATGCATGTCCAGTAGACAGTCTCAGTGGAAATTATCAGTTACGAAGAGCTTTTCCAATAGCTTATAGCTGTGACTTAAACAAGTAGTTGGGGAAAATACTGAGTACAAACAATTAAAAAAGCCACTAGTATGGCATAAAAATACTAACCATGGGCCTCGTCAACTAATCGCTTAAAGTCGTGAGGAGTGCCATATCGACTACTAACAGCATAAAAATTGGTAACCTGCACCATCACATAGAAGTTTGAGCATGTTCCTAACTAACTTAAATAATGAATGAAAAAGGAGAATGTCACTAAAGGTAAGAGTAGCAGTAAAATCTAAAAACTAACAAAACTTGTAAACAGATATAAGCTCTAGCAGCATGCATAAGGAAGGCATGTGCATATAGTTTGTACCATGACATGACTTTCAAGTTTAAGCATGTATGCCTTCAGCACAATTCATGCACATCAATTATTACAATCTGGTTTGTTAAACGAATCATTTGTCATCAATTACTTTGTCTTATATATTACTAATATTTAATAGAAATATTTGGTAACTCTCCAAATCCTCCCAATTCAAAAGTCATCAGACTAACATGGTTACGTTAATGCAGAACAGAAGCCTCACTCTCAGATTTACGCACCCCATACTAAAACCACTAAATTTTCCTAACTTCTGCTCAAAGCATTCCCAGATTAGTGGGAAAATTAAAGAAAATTAATCATGATATAATTACAGTCGGAAAATTAATTAAGAATTACAACAATATTTAACTTACTCTGTAACCAACAGTAAAATAATCCTTGTGCTCCGCAATTCCAATCAACTGGATTGCATTGTAACCCGCTTCCTTTATGTAAGGAAGAACCTGCATTAATAAAAATTCAAGGGAACCAGTTAAATACATGGACATGGAAGATATGTATAATGGCTTAACTATAAACTCTCCTGCCCTGCCCCAATAAAAAAAAAAAACCTTGTCGGTGAAATCATTAAATGAGGAAATTTTTTGCTCAGATCCACTAATTCCAACATGAGCTTCATATATCCTCAGGGATTTTGGTACTTTGGGGCTTGTGTTTTTCCATTTGTATGCATGCTCAGGGGTTGGTTCCCAGTGGATCGCGTAAGCTTGCCCTCCATCTACATCTGCAACGCATTAACACCAAAATCAGTATTAATATTATTCTTATAATAATAAGAATAATAATAAATAGCACACACACTACACATCTTGTTAGAAAGGAAACTCCAAAAAAAATATAACCTGGGCAATGAGGTTTTTTTCCTTATTTTTATGTATTTAGGCATAGCATAAAAAAACTAATTATATGAAATCTAATGCCGAAGCAGTAACCAATTGGCTAAACAGAAAGAAAGAACGAAACAAGAATTGCGAGAAAACGCTTTTCTCTTTTCTTAAATTTATTTAACCAAAAACAACCAAATAATAAGAAGGTTCTCCAAGCCTTAAATACGCAAAATAAAATAACAAAAAAGTAAATAACTATAATCATGCGCAATCAAAAGAGATAACGCACAATCAACGCACACTCAAACATAATCTAAAAATAACAAAAAAGGAAATAATTGTAAAGAACCAATTCAACCCAAAAGCTTAAGCTGTTGGGTGAGGCTACATTAATGGTTTTATATATCTCAACACGCCCCCTCACACGAGAGCCCACTGGGCTTGAAGGGTGGACAATGCACAGGCCCACCTACCTGTGCGAACAAAGAAATTCCACTTGAAAGAAAGTGGAGGGCGGCGAGGATCGAACTCGGGACACGAGGCTCTGATACCAAGTTAAATGTAAAAGAATACGTTGTGTATTGATCTGTGTCAGGGAGTTACAATATATAGAGACCCTAATGGGCTTAAGTGTAAGGCCCAAACCTAATCCAAACCTAATCCTAATACAGTCAGAATACAGTCAGACTATTTACGGATAAGACAGAATCCAATCATATCTAATCAAATCTAATCATATCATATCTAATATTCTAACAAGTTAAATGTAAAAGAATACGTTGTGTATTGATCTGTGTCAGGGAGTTACAATATATAGAGACCCTAATGGGCTTAAGTGTAAGGCCCAAACCTAATCCTAATACAGTCAGAATACAGTCAGACTATTTACGGATAAGACAGAATCCAATCATATCTAATCAAATCTAATCATATCATATCTAATATTCTAACACTCCCCCTCAAGCTGGTGCGTATATATTATGAGCACGAAGCTTGTTACAAATGTATTCAACCCGAGGACCTCTAAGAGCTTTAGTGAAAACATCTGCTAGTTGATTAGATGAGTTGACAAAAGCTGTCTTGATTTCTCCTGACTGAATCTTTTCCCGAATGAAGTGACAATCAATCTCTATATGTTTGGTCCTCTCATGAAAAACAGGATTAGAGGATATATGTAGCGCAGCTTGATTATCACAGATGAGTGTCATGGGTTGTTTCTGTTCACAAAGATGAAGCTCCTGAATCAACTGCTTTAACCAGATCAACTCACAGGTAGTATTTGCCATTGCACGATACTCAGCTTCTGCACTAGATCGGGAAACAACAGGTTGTTTCTTGCTTTTCCATGAGATTAAGTTTCCTCCGAAGAAGACACAATAACCAGAAGTAGAGCGTCTGTCCGAGGGTGATCCTGCCCAATCGGCATCTGAGTAACCACAAATTTCTGTATTTCCCTGATCCGAATACAACAAACCTTTTCCTGGTGCTCCTTTGATGTATCGGAGGATCCTCACAGCAGCATCCCAATGTGAATCACAAGGGGAATCAAGGAACTGACTGGCCGTACTGACAGCGAAAGAAATATCTGGCCTAGTCACAGTAAGATAATTGAGCTTCCCAATCAGCCTTCGATAACGTCCAGGATCAGATAACGGCTCCCCCTGTCTGGGCAATAACTTAACATTAGGATCCATTGGTGTATCAACTGGTTTACACCCCAACATACCAGTCTCCTCTAGGATATCCAAGGCATACTTTCTTTGACAGATAGAAATGCCCTGTCTAGATTGCGCCACCTCAATTCCCAAGAAGTAACGCAGCTTCCCAAGGTCCTTTGTTTGAAATGCACTGAATAAATGTTGTTTTAACTGATGGATTCCGTCTTGATCACTTCCGGTGAGGATGATGTCATCAACATAGACTAACAAATAGATGCACTTGTTAGGAGATGTAATCCTATAGAATACAGAATGGTCAACTTTACTGCGAATTAGGCCAAACGCCTGTACAGCAGAACTGAAGCGACTGAACCATGCTCGAGGAGACTGCTTGAGACCATATAAGGATTTTCGAAGACGACATACCTTCCCAGACTCCCCCTGAGCAACAAAACCAGGTGGTTGCTCCATGTAAACTTCTTCTTGTAAATCACCATGAAGAAAGGCATTTTTGATGTCAAGTTGAAGGAGTGGCCAGTGACGAACAACAGCAAGGGCAAGAAATAGGCGGACGGACGCCATCTTAGCGACTGGAGAGAATGTATCGCTATAATCAAGGCCAAAGATTTGAGTAAAACCCTTGGCAACTAGCCGTGCCTTGAGACGATCAACATGGCCATCAGGTCCAACTTTCACAGTAAACACCCAGCGACAACCAACTATAGACTTCTCTGGAGGAGCAGAAACAAGGTCCCAAGTGCCATTGGTATGAAGTGCGGTCATCTCATCAAGCATCGCTTGGCGCCATCCTGGATGGGAAAGTGCTTCACCTGTGGTCTTAGGAATAGAAACAGAAGAAAGACTAGAAACAAAGGTGAAATGAGGAGGAGAAAGGCGATCATAGCTCAAGAAGGTATAAAGAGGATAAGGGTTACGAGTAGTACGTGTACCTTTTCTTTGAGCAATGGGAAGAGCCTCTGGTGAAGGATCCGGAGGGGAAGAATCAACTGCAGAGGGCAATGAGTCAGCAGGGGTCGAGTCGACTGGAGGTACTGTCTTACGACGCTGATAAGTGAGAAGTGGACGGTCCTTAGGTACTGGAGCAATAGGTGATGGCTTATCTGGAGTAGAAGCACCTGCATCTGGCAAAGACAAGTCAAGAAAAGGAACAGGAAGAACATGATCAACCTGTGACAATGGAGATGGGATAGAATTAAAGGGTTGTTGATCAAAAAAGGTGACATCCGCGGAAACTAAGTAACGCTTGAGGTCAGGAGAGTAACAGCGATAACCCTTTTGAAGACGAGAATAACCAAGAAAAATGCATTTAAAGGCTTTGGATGTTAACTTATCCTTACCAGGAGTGAGATCATGAACAAAACAGGTACAACCAAAAACATGTGGGGATAGAGGAAAGAGAGGAACATCTGGAAACAATAAGTTATGAGGAATATCATTATTAAGCACAGATGAAGGCATGCGGTTGATGAGAAAGCAAGAAGCAAGGACTGCATCAGCCCAGAAGTGAAGAGGAACATGCATGTGAATAAGAAGAGTCCTGGCAATCTCAATGAGATGTCTATTCTTACGTTCAGCTACTCCATTTTGTTGTGGAGTGTGAGGACAAGTGGTTTGGTGTAAAGTACCCTGTGTGGCTAAGAAGTGAGAAAAGTCAACAGAAACATACTTCTTAGCATTATCACTACGTAAAATACGAATAGAAGCACCAAATTGAGTATGAATTTCAGCAGAAAACTTTTGATAAATAGAAAACAACTCGGAACGGTTTTTCATTAAATAAATCCAAGTACAACGGGAGAAATCATCAATAAAGGTGACAAAATACCGAAAACCTAAAATAGACACACTACGACTAGGACCCCAAACATCTGAATGAATAATTGAAAAAGGAGCATCAGCTCGTTTATTGACTCGATCAGCAAAGGAGGAGCGTATGTGCTTTCCTTGCTGACATGACTGACAATCTAAAGTTTGAAGACCGGATAAAAGAGGAACCATCTTTTGCAATTTCGCAAGACTAGGATGCCCGAGACGACTGTGGATGAGCTGTGGAGATTCTGTGAGAGAACAAGCAACTGAAGGACTCGGCACATCAAGGTAGAACAGACCCCGTGACTCACAGCCCACTCCAATCATCTTCCCCGTACCCGGGTCCTGCACAGAAACAGAATGGTTTGAGAATGTGACAATACAATTAAGAGAATTGATCAATTTACTAACCGATATTAAATTATAAGGGATGTGAGGAATGTAATAGACAGATGTCAAGGTCAATGAGGAGGTTGGACAGATTTGTCCAATCCCATGAACGGGGGCCTTAGTTCCATCAGCAAGAGTAAAAGAGGGTAAATTATTAGAATATGTAAGGGACGAAAAGAGTTCCTTATTACCACAGAGGTGATCAGTAGCACCTGAGTCAAATATCCAAGGACCAAGTGATGCAGAATGAGAAACACAAGCAACAGGATTACCAGTTTCTGAAGCAGAGGCCTGAGATTGAGGAGAGGACTTCCTGAGAAGGGCCTGGAATGCTGCATATTCTTCAGAGGAGAGAGAGACTGAACCATTTGAAGCAGTATCCGATTGAGCTACATTAGCAGCAAAAGAAGGTCGCATGTGAGGATACTTGGTGTAGCAGCGTTCCTCATAATGACCAAGTTGCTGACAGTAATGACAACGAGGTCGCTGACCACGTCCGACTGGACCTCCTGGGCCTCCTGGGCCACGACCTCCTGGGCTACGTCCTCCTGGGCCCCGGCCTCCTGGGCCTCTACCACGACCACGTCCACCTCCAATATGCCCGCGAAAATCAGTACGGGAAACTAGAGCAGTAGAATCAACAGAAGAAGATGATGCAGGAGCAGATTTCTTATTCAAATTCAGAAGACGCTGATACGTCATGGATAGATCAGGCTCCCCACTAGTCAAGATAGTATCACGAACATTATCATATTCTTCGGGAAGGCCAGAAAGTGTGGCAACCATAAAGAGACGTTCCACCTGTTTTCGATATGCAGTAGCATCAGTAGGGTAAGGCAGCATATCCAAATATGCCTGCATCAAAGAGCGACTCTTGCCAATATATGTCTCCATCTGAATGTCGGATGATTTGCTCAATTCCATAAACTGAGAGATGATGAAATAGAGCTGCTGAACATCATTAGTGTAGAGGTTTTTTGCTTCCTCCCACACTTCAGTGCAAGTTTGAAATGAATAAA